CTTGTCCAAGTTTAATGATAATTTATTTAGTTGAAACCAGCTTTGTATTTTCACAAATTCTTTCTGTACCATCTCCAACATTTGTTCTAAATCTTTACCGGAACAAAAGAATGTTATATCATCAACAAATAGAACACACCCAAAAAGTCCCGACACATTGACCAAATCATTCACATACAAAACAAATAACTTAGGTCCGAGAAGGGAACCCTGTGGCACTCCACATGAGATGTTACAAAACTCAGATCTTACATTATTAATTTGGACAAAATATTTTMTATCTTCCAAATAACTAGATACCCACTGTAATGCAGGTCCTCTAATACTATGTTTATTTAGCTTTTCAAAAAGAATWCTGTGGTTAAYAGTATCAAATGCTTTTTTTAAATCAACAAAAATACACAGTACTGTTACATACACAGTAATGTGTTAATACACAGTACTGTTTTTGGTCAACAGTAGTTGTTATATGTTCAATTAATTCAATGAGTGCTGGCCCATCGCTTTCCTGGAGTGCTGTGTGCGAGTGAAGGGGAAGTGGGAAAGGGTGACATCCGGTAACAAAAATACRTAAATACCAATGAGTCAGGTTTGAATCTGAAGCAGTAGCTACAATGAAAGCAAAGAGGTTAACAAATAAATTGGACAATAATCTGGCTATTTAGTGATATTTCCACAGTTGTGGTCTTGACTGGTCTTGAAATATAATTCCGAGTCCTCATTGTCCAAGACCGAGTACAAATGTGGTCGAGTCCGAGACAAGACCAAGACCATCAAAAAGTGTTCTTAAGACCAAGACCAGTCTCAAGTACTACAACACTAGTAAGAAGAGACTTTGTCTGTAATTTGAGAACACGGTTTAGTTTATAAAAATCGGCATCAACTAAAGATTTTTTTTACGAATCTCTTTGTGATTTAAATGAGTAATGACTGATTTCCTGTAACCCCTTTCCCTGCAGGATCCAGATGTCTCAACAGAAGAAAAGCTGACCTCAGCATTGCAGAGACACATAGAGACCGTCGGAGTTCCTGTTCAGGAAACGAGTCCGGTCACTGACGATTAGACAAGACGKTTCAGTATCAGTGGTGTTTGCTGCTTTTCAAAGGTTCGGATGGAACAAACRTTCCTAAATGAGCCCAACGCCCAGCTGTACTTCCCAGTTCACTTTCTGCTGTGTGAAGACACTTGGCTCTGTCTCTCAAGAGGACCTTAACTGTTTGACATTTTTATTTTGATTTACAAAAAACAAATCACTGGGCCAACCTACTGAGCAGCCATAGTAAACCAAGACCTGGATGACAGAAATCTTTTAAAAATTACTTTTTTTTTTTCTGTTTTTGGTCAGTCTGTTGTTTTACCGTTTTTTAGTTTTATAAATGAACAGAAATCGTGAAAGACTACCAAGTTTGGATCTGGTAATTTTTAGATTCTTTATTTTTTTAAGACAAAAATAATTTCTTTGTGCTATTACCATATCTTCTTTTTATTGTATATAAAAGCTTTCAAATTCTGAAAGTCAGCTTGTCTAAATCCCACTGAAAACTTATTTTTTGAAAAAGGGATTACTGCACAGGTATCTGAGTGGAATAATAATTATGATTTTTGTGTCCAGGGGTTTGTTTAGATT